GTGTGTGTGTGTGTGTGTGTGTGTGTGTGTGTGTGTGTGTGTGTGTGTGTGTCTAAGTTGGTGACCAGTCTAGGCATGCCGGATGTTAGCATCTCCAATGCTTGCAAACACACGAGTCTCCTTCTCATTTGCAAGCTGGCCTCTCATTAATCAAATCCGTAGCTGGGTTTGGAGTAGATATCCTCCTGCTACAAGGACGTAGGCCCTGCTGGGTGCACAATAGTCTTAACTTTGTCCCTCATACAGTATTACAGTATTGTAGGAAGTAGAGAACACAGCTGGAAGCCAAACATCTACCAGAGAGTACACCACTTTAAACAGGACCAGTCTGAACTTTTCACATCAAACTACTGAAGCTTCCTTCTTTTCCTGCATCAGCAGCAGAGTGCATCCAGCTGTTCTGCAGATGTTGATGGTGGGGCTAAATCAGGAAGAAGGACTGAAGCATCTGCAGAGCAGCTACACGCAGACCTGAAGGCCATCGCAGCTGATGCCGTTTGTTTAATGACGTTTCTTCTCCGTTTGAAGGATGATATTTTGAAGTCTTCTCAGCCCCTCTGTGCGTTTGCCATATGTTGCTCTCTTTTTGTTTTGTGATGCGTTGAGCTTTGTGTGTGAGTGTGTGTTTGCAGTTTGTCATGTTTCCGCTTTGTTGCCCAACAGCAGATGGCCCTCCATGTGCCTCCTGTCCTCTCGTCTTGTGTTTCCTTCCAGCAGGTTCTGCAGCTCTGCTCCGTCTTTAAAGAGACATTTCAACATACAGTATTTCCATCTCATTCTGGAGACAGGATGACTTCTGACATTGTTTGTCACAAACTCTTATTTACTCAACAGATTGTCAAGAAAAAACTGTTTAACTGCCTTTTTCCCCTCAAACTGTCCTTGTTTTCCCTCCATCTATTCCTCAAATAAAGACAGACAGGAACAGAAAGCCAGGAAGCTGCCAGCTCTGGGACTGTGCTACAGAAATGTTGAGGAAAATCAGAATATAAAGCGTTTCTGTTTCATATTAACATTATATTAATGAAACCCACTGAGCTGCTGTTTTTCAGGTTTTTAAACAGCTGTAGGAATTAAAGCCCTAGCATCTTTTATTTATTTATTTTTTTAAAGACTCGCTCATTTTAGACAAAGTTCTCCTGCAGAGAAATGATGGAATTGTAGCCGTTTTTGTTGAAACCCAAGAAATAACACTACAGGTGGTCCTCATAAAACTAGAATATCATGAAAAAGTTTATTTATTGCAGTAAGTCCATTCAAAAAATGAAACTTGTGTATTATATTCATT